TCAGAGGCTTCACTTTAGGTTTGTCGGACAGTACATCTAAAGCCGAGTCTCTTATGCAAAATGCGACAAAAGAAGGTAGAACATTATATAGAACGAATAAACTGATACTCAGACAGACTGTTTCAAGTTCCAAGGATTTATGTTACGGGTCTGGAATCGATGATTCGTGATAAGATAAAAAATGTATTATTTGTGATATTTCAAACCTTTTGTCAAACTTCAAATGCATTTTTCTCAAAATCACGTTTTCAAAGACCCACCATTAAGTCAAAAACTAAGTGACCGACTGTGTTTTGAGAATGCTGGTGTAGAGTGAAAGAACTAAAGGAATAGAGAAAAGGAGAATGATCCGGTGAAAGATATAAAACAGGGTGAATAAGACATGCGCGGAATAGTTACAGAGAAGTAGTCAGAGAGATAGGATCACGGAGCGAGAGTTGTAAGAAGAAGATTGAGAATACCTGTCTACAACTTAACATTCCTATAATATTATCACACTACGGACTTGGACTTTGCTGTGTGGGCGGTGTACTTGGGGACCAGACAAATACCGATCATTGATCGGCAAAGCAAACTTGAGGCTTCAGGCGGGCCTTAGGGTCTAGAAGTGGGAGATGTAGGAGAAATTGCGACGTCTCGCTGTTAATCAACCAATAGCAATAGAATAAGGCTATCGCATCAACTCTTTCATGAACAACAATAGGCGATGATCGAGCCTCGTGTGAGCAGTCGGTAACAGATGAATCACGTGCCGATTTTTGAGACGCGGAAACGGTGGCTGTCGATCGGTGATGGCATACTTTTTTCATATACTTCAGAAACTGTTAGACTTCATGAGCAATTTTTTAAAATACAGAAAACAATTTTTATTATTCAGAAATAACAAAAATGTTTACTTTTCACTTTTCTAAATCTTAAAAAATATTGCTACATTGTCGATAGCTGATTGAAAACCATTTATCTACACTGCAACTTCCCCTCAAGCGGCGCGGCGGCAGTGTACGATCAAAGAGTAGTGGGGATGGTCTGACCGCCTCTTTTCCGCTCAATTGGTCAGGCGACGACGTCAGAAGCCTCAACTTTGCTTTGTCGATCAGCATATTCCAGTACGCCACACTTAGTACACATTTAGAAAGTAATAAATGCTGCTGAAAATTCGTAATTCTATAAATATGCCTTTAAGATAAATTTTAAGAAAAAATTTGAAAATTTACAAAAAACAAACAAACACGAGAACATGATAGAAGAGTTAATGTTTTCTGTGATTAATTTCTATCATTCTATACTAAATTTCGTTCAGAACAGTGTTCCAGGGTAATACTATTGACACTAACACTGGCAACACTAATTTTATGGGTATTTGTTCACACTATCAGTAGTGACAACATTATCATAAAACAGATCAATTCTCCCATGTACTTCGCAACATAAACATAACAAAAAACGTTAGCTTGCGGTGATATTTCACCCATGATACCATAAGTCTAATATTATCTACAAAAAAAAAAAAATTAGTTACAAAAAAAGTTTTAATTCCTTTTTGAACTTTGATGTTGCAATTTTCGTTGCTAAAAGTTGTAGCGACCAGCTGCATATAAAAAAATGGAAACATTTGGCGTGCAAATGGTCAGCACGGTTTAGGATACGTGCACCTACTTTATTTGCAGTAACCATCGCAATGTCATTTGTAACTGTTGCAAACAATAACTTCTCTACAATGATAAAACATTTAATTGCATTTGTTTACCTTTTCCGATTTCCAAAATGAACAAATATATAGGTACTGGGGTAAACTTTTACCCATGATAGCAATAACGTGATTTTCTTTGATGATAGCTTTTAAGGGTTAATAATGTCATACGTTTCTAGAGGCCCTCGCATTTCTTAGTGTGTGAAAATCCTGAGAACCGGAATTAGATTCCGTGACAAATTTACTTGTAAAATCTATTGTTCGATATTAAATGTAGTAAGTTCGTTTATGTTGATTTATGACACGGACGCCTAGTCCTTTTTGAGAAATTTAATTAAAATATTCTATGATATAATCAACCGTTAGAGCCAGAGGGCAAGGTCTAGAGATTGCTTTATGAACGCAGAAATAGAAATTTCTGGACAAATATAGACAAATATGGAACAATTTATTGACAAATTTCTGCATCCATAAAGCAATTTCTAGACCTTGCCTTCTGGCCCTAACGTGCCACATGAAGCGCTAATGTGCTTCTGCCTTGTAACCTATTACGGGGCGCACGAGTAATTCGTGACCCAGGCCCGCTCACCTTTAGGTCTGGTCCTTTCGCTGACCGGTACCACCAGCCTTCAAGGTGGGCAGATGCTCAAGGTCGTAGGAGGACTATCCAGGGTCTGAAAAGCTCAACGATTCGCCAACCGTGTCACCGCCTATTTTCTAATTCTTAATATAAGTCGTCTAACACGACATTCACGAGATTATTCACACAAAAAGAGTCATACTAGAATCACACGAGAGTAAAACTAGTACCACAGCGATCGTTAACCCTTTCATTACTATTGGAGTCTGTAGGCGTTTTGAAAATTTACTCGCATTGCACTGTTGGATCCTTTTGGTACACTTTCGTCTTAATCTAACCTTTTAGGTACGGCGCGCTCGTCCGCAGGTGGGTACCCCTGGGACGGCGCGCCTGGCCGCGGATGGCACAAAAACCGTTCATGACGATTCTCTGACACGTGTACTCTTCAACGACAGCTTCGATATTGCCAGGAAATGTGGTTTAGGCGAAACAAATGTGAAATAAAGCAAAAAACGTATAATACCGTCCAAAATCATGATATCCACAAAAGTCACTATAGTGTCGTACCGTCCAAATTGGTGCCATCCGCGGAAGACACTATAGTGGCTAAAAGGTTAATTCTAAATTTTATTCTTTACCCAGTTCTACCTTAATTCAATAAACCAAATTTCAAAACGACACGGCCAAAACAGCAAATTTTGCCGGCAGGGTTAAAAATTGACCATCTACCGCACACGTAACGTCTTAAAATCTGTCGCAATGAAAGGGTTAAGTATTCGTCCTCCATAAAACACGCACGCACAACCACCTCACACAATATTAATTTGGCGTGTGAGAAACGCGTAAAAATTAATCGCGAGATAGAGGAGTACGCGTCCTAACAATATAGCTGTATATAATAACTAGAGCAGAGCCGCTCAGGCAGTCGTTTTACGAGCAATAACGCTTGCCGTTCCTCGCGAACACTGCTACGAACAAAAGTATTGTAAGAGCGAGTAACTTAGACCAGTCGTGAATGGAACGGAGAACAAAGATAGTCGTGGGAATTTAAGTTCGTAGGTTCGTAGTTCATAGTAGTAGGCAAATCGATCACTTTTTGACATCGATGTCGTACTAAAGAATAATAAAATAATAATATCTTCTGTTGATATTGCCTTCAGACCATATTGCAGGCAATTTCCAGTTCCTTATAACGCCAATTTTAGTCGCAAAGGGGCTCACTGTGTAGGTAGTATTTCAAGAAATGTGATCATATCTTTTTTTTTCAATTTGAACACTTCTAGCCCATCACAGAGAAATTTACAAAATAAGAGTTTGTTTATAATTTTCAGTACCATAAAATCAATTTTTCAAATAACAAAAATATTGTTACAATAGGGCCATCCTTCTAGATTGAAACAAAAAAAGGTGAGCTCAATTCGATCAATAGTTTCCGAGATAAAAATTGATAAACACAGTCCGTTTCTCACAAATGGACAATAATTGTCAAATTCAAAGGTCCGTATTTTTTAAACAAATTCAAAACCAGCTAAATGATGACTTAAATCCCCCCTAATTTCACGTGCACTACGTTATATTTTATTTGGAACAAAATCACCGATGTCAACGTCAAAAAGTGATCGATTTGGCGCGGAATCACCCAGTGCTATTCCATTCATACAGTGCTCGTTGCTCGAATAGCGTGACTTACTGCTCGAATATTGCTTCGTGCTGGAGTTGGCTCTGAACTAGAGTCTGTTTCATTCAGAAACTTAGAGATGTAGGGCCGCGAAGCTCGATAATAACACGAACGCGTGTCCGTGCGGCGACGTCGACTCGACGAGGACAGGACTCTTTCTTCGTCCTCTTCCTTTGCATCGCAGAGCGCGAATTTCTACGATTATTAGGGGCTGCCGATGGGTAGCTCGCGAGCCGGTAACGACTGAGTGTCCCCGTATGTCATTATCTTAGAGGACTGAGTGTCCTCAATTAATAAATAACATCCTTTTATTTAATCGTTCACCCTAATTCCTGCAGAGATATATTTAAATTTTTAGGATTAGGGTGAACCCTCTACGATACACTTCTGTCGCTCGAAACATATAAACTCATACGAACGAACCGAAGCTCACTAACATTTGTAGCGACAACCCTTCCATTTAACCGTTAATTCGTCCAACGAACTTCTGTTCCGCCGGGAGCCGCATGGTCTTTACCATCAATCAGTTGATTCAACGCAAAAGTGGGGGCTACTATATGCGGCTCGTGAGCCGCCAGTTCGTCGCAGGAGCAAGAAAAAGACGGTGAAGTCAAATAGGCAAGGAAGGAAGGGCTCTGTAGAGCAAGCAAGTAGGGGAAGGGACCGCATGTGGCCCGCGGATCGTCAGTTCGTCAGCCCTAGTTTAGTCGTAGGTTTGTCCACATTTACCAACCTCCTAGCGGCAACCCTACGATTCAGCCACTGTTCATCCACAACGACCACCTACGTACGGCTCCCAGTGATAACCAGGCATTGATTCACTACTAACAAACTCTACACCAAAACCCCCCTCCTCGGCTTCGCAGCCGCTCGCAATGGCTCGTAACAAAATAAAACTAAAAGAAAATCAATGTACTTCTTAAACTGCTTTTAAATTATATTTCTAATAGAAAAACATTTTACATAACGCAACGTAAAACCCCCAGAAATACGTGCTTGTACGTACCTACATATATAATACTTAATTCTGGAATAAATTAGCAAACTCTTACCTTGTAAGCGTCCGGTATGTTGACAGGTTCCCCGCTTTCGGCGACGTATCCAACAATTCCCGTGCCCCAAGGAATTTTGATTTCGTCTTTTTTCTCCATTTCGAGCAGCGTCGATCTCGAGCATACGTCGAACAACTTCGAGACCAGACACCTGCTTCTCGGATAGCCCATTCCACGGTGTTCGAAGCTCTCATTTCCCGTTTTCCTTGGACTCGTGTTGTCAGTGGGACTGTTCGACGAGGAATCGTGATTTTGCGAGGAGGGCATGCAACTACCGCCCCTTTCGCCCTGAACGAGAAACAAGGAACCACGGTCTGCGTGTAGCAGAGTACTCACGTTTTGCAAGATTTTGTGACACAACGATCTCACGTCCAGCTCGTTACAAATATCCTTCACCTGCAGGCAAATTCATCGTCATAGAATGGTCTTTGATTCACATAAACGTTTAAAGAATTTTTCATTTCGGAACACCTTTCTCTATGTAACAAATTTGTTTTCAGTAAAACACCGCATATATGATGACGTGCAAAGTATATAGCTAGATCCATTTTTATAACCTTTAAACTTAAAATTTTGATAGTCTCTAGCGTACCATTTTTATACTTTTACAGTACACCTATTTTCTCGAAGGCAAAGTCTCGTATTAAAAATTTTTATTTTTACTATTTCATTCGACATCTATTTACATACACGGTGTCCAACAATTGGTGGAAGAAATATTAAAGGGCGATTCTATATAATAACATGAAGCAATTGAGTTTTCAGTTATTAACATTTAAAAAAAATAGCTTAATTATTCTTGGGATCCAACAATTTGTCGCACACCAAAAGTGAGATGTAACTTCCAAAAAATAGCATGGAAGATCTGAATGATGAATAAAAATACGGTTACAAAAGCAATCGATATGTTTATCTTCGAAAGAATATGCAATTTTTCTAATGTATTCAACAAAATAAGATGTGGTAACAGAAGGTTGTAACATTAAGTTATTGGAGCAATGTATTCTAGCAAAAGTTACTCTCTGCTCGCGTATAAGTACTACAGTGATATTATAAAAAAATTCTATTGTTTTCAGAACAAATGAATGAACCTTATTAATCTATTAATAAGACATAAATAATTTAAATACTGAGGTAGAAAATAAATTTATATTATAGCTACGAAATACTTAATACTTCTTAATTACGTAAAATTCGAGGAATTGGATATAGAGCAAATATACTATTTGCAAACACAACAAGATTTATTTACTACTATTTACACTTGTTTCTATAAATTACAAATTTCCAATATTCGGCACAAATATGTTAATGTCCATAAGTTCAAGAGTCCGAAAGAGTTAGAGTTCTAGTTTAAGTCCGAAAAATCTTCTATGCAAAGTCCTAAAGCGTAAAGTTCGAAAGCCTTTTGTCTGAAGACAGAAAACGTTTTGCCCATTGTCCCAAAAATCCTTCAAGTCGCATCTTGGAGGGAAATACAGAAAAGAGGAAGCTGGAACTGTTCAGTGAAAAAATGGGCCGGGTTCCAGATTGTGTAATTTCGTACTGTAAACAGGATCTGCAGGACGTTGCACAAAGGTTCCCTGGTCGCGGAACCGGCCCATAAATTCTATAGTCCGTCCAACGAGTCGAGTCAGCAGAGGTAAACAAAACATTCGCGTGCAGGGACATAATTCCAGCTATTGGCTGGAGAACGATGGTCAATGGTTGAATTCAGGAGCAGATTTACATGAGTTATTGTCAGGGCTTGCTGCCACTTCTCGGCTTTAGTGTTACAATATCTGAAGGTCGTGAATGCGCTTCTGTCCCAATCACGTGCGTTTGTTTCCCTCTACTGATTCGACTCGTTGGATGGACTGTAGGTCCCAGTTTTCTCGACGTGTATGCTTACGATAAGTCAATTGTCTTTGTGGGTGATCTGATTAGACAATGTATTCAGGGAAAGTTGGGGTTGTTTTCCAGCCCAATCCAAATTTTCAAAAAAGTATACAATCTATGGCAAATTCATTTCCGCAGAAACTTAAACACGTCACCTTAACATACCGCCCGCATTGAACGGTTATGTTCAACAGGAAGTAGACTAAGTTAAAAGTGACATACATGAATAAAATAGTGCAATATACAATACGAAAATGTCACACAGACAATTATGGTCTAACGCAATTAATGGTTATTACAAATTCAGGAAACAAAAGAAATGGATAATACAATAATACTAACAAAATATGCAAAAATAAAATCATAATTTACAAGGAAAATAAAATATATTAATACGAACATAAATCAATGATGAATAATAGTGTACACAGGGTGTCCCACGCAACTGGGACAAACTGTATCTTTAAAATGGTTAGAGATGGAAGAAAATGCCATAGGACAATATTAAATGGTGTCAAGTGATGCATAATCTGGAATCAAGTTTATGCGTTTCTGTGCACCGGTGCATCGGAAATGTGCAATTCCACTCGTTCTTTTAAATAGAACTCCATATTTTAAATTAAATTCTAATTTATAAAAGTTTTCGGTCGGGATATGTTTCTTTATACAGTCTTGCAGCGTCAGTAGCATTCTGATTGCATTTGATTGCAAACATGATGACATATCCACTTTTTCGCTATTTGCCAATATTTACTATGATGTTGTACTACTGCGTGTAAACGTTACTGATGACAAGGTATCTTACACTGATTGGTATTAGCAGTGGACTCATGTATATAAACATTGTAATGCGTGTGGAGAAATACACAACAATACATCAGCGAAAATGTGCTGATAGACAGCAATGTAATTAAGGAAATTTAAAACTGCAATAACGTCTGAACTAATACCTCTAAGGCATAAGTACCTCCGTACTTTTTTGCAGACAGTGAGAAACTGCATCGACTAGTATATCCAAAAATATGGGATTCCATTAAAAAGGCAGGTGCATTTGCACTTTTCCAATGTACCGATGCACAAAAATGCATAAAATTAATTCCAGAATATGCACCACTTGACACCATTTAATTTTGTCCTATGGCATTTTTTTCCATCTCTAACCATTTTAACCCTTTCGCGACCTAGCGCCGGTTATATCCGGCATCCACTAAGCGCGTCGCATTGGCTCGCGCCGCGACAACTCAAAGTGAAGATTTATTTTAAAATACAGAACAAGGCCTCAACAACATTCCCTTTATCCAATACACCCTTAAGTCCCCTGCTGTTCCAACGAAATCCTCTAAGATTTTAAAAAACGCGAGACACTTAATGTGTATGGTGTGCACTAATGGCACGACGACCCCTTCGTTAGTGGCGTACCGATGGCTAGTTCCGCCGTCGCGAAAGGGTTAAAAATATAGCTTGTCCCAGTTGCGTGGTACACCCTGTATATCCCAGACGTAAACAACAGGGTAACATGAAATGATACAATGTCCATCAATAATAGATTAATCATTCGTGTCATCTGCATGGCCATCGCAAGGTGTTCTTGAATTTGGTCGCTCGACTCAATCATCTTCCGTCGGTAGGATGCAGATTTTTGTCATCGGTCACTTGACAATCCCGTCAGCAGTTTTTATCGAAACGATTCTGACAATTTTGTCCTGACCTGGATAAATTTCCGGAAGGTTGTCCTTCTTGATGACAACTAACGTCCCAGGTCTGAATTTGAGCGGTGTAACAACTCACGATATATTGCGTTGTTGCAATTGGTGCAGGTGTTCATTGCACTTTCTGTTAGAGCAACCGGAATCGGGATAATCTATTCTCCTTAACATCGCGTAAATCGTAATTGGACGGACAGGTTAGTGCCTCGCCAATCAAAAGTGGTATAGAGTCAGCGGGATAAGATCCTCGGGATCGGTAGACTAAGGACATAGAGGACGGGAGTTCCAGACAACCTCTACCTGTGTTAGCATAGTGTACAGTTCTTCGTACATTAAAATCGCTTCCTCAATGACTCGCCTCAAATAATACCTCGCGAATTTTATCGCATTCTCTCATAACCTTCCAAAATGAGGTACACGAGGAGGAATCATATGCCACTGTATTCTCTGACAAGATAAAAATTCTGAAATTTATTTGATGTGGTGAATATTAGGCAATACTAGATTACGCCTGAAAGAGTTCAGTGAGTTCATTACGAGTACCTGCAAAATTTGTACCATTATCAGAGTTTATATTATGGCATATTCATCGTCGTGCAATAAACTTCTTCAAACAATTCAAAAATGCGTTGATTGCCAGGTCTATTGATAGTTCTAAACGTATTGCCTTTATAGAGAAACAAACAAAAACACAAATGTATCCCTTAACAGAGGTCTTACTGCGGTTTCTTTGATTTTCATAATAATCATTTTTTGTAGCATTAGCTCCTTGAGAAAGCACGTGTTCCATTTCCCTATTAAACTGCGCAATTTTCACAGTCCGACTTTTGTTTGGCTAATGTTTGTAGCAATAATGCAACTTGGTTGGGTTTTTTGAAGAATCAATTGGTTAGGCCTCAACTGGTGTCTACTGATACATTGCCAATAATCACATTGATTTCACTAATCACATCAAAATATAAATCAGCAAGTTTAAATTCTAGCGAGATTGGAACGTCCACTGACTTCAAAGAAATAATTTGGAATCCATCGAATATGAAAATCAATACCACAGACGTTTTACGTCGTGCCCCTTGATTCAAACCTCTAATTCCTAACCTAAATCCTAACCTTTTGATTATCCTTTCTTTTATGAAATGCGACTGTAATCTTGAATCCAATAGCACCCTACACGCATGCCTAAGTCCGCGGCTACCGTTGACAACTAGGTAGTTTCAACGACGTGTTTAGATCGCGCGATACAAGGATTCGAAGAATTCAGTATCTTTGAAATGGCATTGGTATCCGTTCTTTCTGATTCTGTGTCCAAGATTCAAGCAGCGGAGGCGGTAACTTCTGGACTATGTGCCTATTTTAACGGTTTGTGTGACGTGTAAAAGAATATGTAGGAAGTGGTCTAATGAACTTTACTCAAATCAGGATGTCGTGCAAAGTAGTTTATTTCGGACTCTTCGGCGTCCGTCTATTACCGAAGCTAAGAACCGACTCCCGTCGAATGGCAAAGATATCGCTGGGCCGAACCGATGGGTACCCGGGTCTGGTGTTTGTCACTCGCCAAGAGGCGCAGGCCAAGCCATAAACCGTCCCAAAAAGCCTACAATAGGAATCAAAAGTAATTTTCCTTAATTCCACCTTAATTTGGGGAATTTTCATCAAATTTTCAGAATTTACAAATCTTACTTTCCATTTGCCTTGATTTAAAATCTCGAACCACTGAAATCTCATTGATAAATTTCAGGATAATTGCAATTTAAAATCGATAAGATGAGATAAATTGAGTCGTTTCGATTCAATTTGCTATGGGAAGTGTCT